GAGGTTGTAGCGGCCGGCGCGGCTGGAGCCCTGTCCCGCCGCGGCTCGCCCTCCACGCCCCGCACGCCCTCGGGGCGCACCCCCGCGCCCGCGCGCTGATGGTAGCGCCGCGCCGGCCGCCTCCGCCCGGCCGCTCAGGAAATGGTCCCGCCGCCGCGGGAGGGAGGGAGCGGCCCGGCCGCGCTGTCACAGGAAGCGCGGGGCCCGCCCGCCACCGTGTCCCCAGCTGCGCCTCGACCCTCGGGGGAAGGGGCGGCGGCCCCAGGTTGCCCGCGCCGCCGCGGGGAGGGACGAGCGCGGGGACTCGGGAGCGGCTGCCGGGCCAGCCCCGAGAACGCCGATTCGCTAGTTTAAATGGCTCCCTGCGCTCCACGTGCGCATCGCGGAGTCCACGCTCGCCAAGCTCGCCAAGTGTAGCCCAACAGATGAAAGGAATCCCGGACTCGCAGTTTACGCCGGGATAAACCCTCCCCAGTCTTGTGGATCCACTTGATCCGCCTTGAGGCCTCTGGAACGGAGCTGTGAGAAGGCAACTTCTTTTCCAGTTGAATACTTAGGGCTTGTTAATTAGGCCCAAGCTTTAAGTATGAGGGGAATAAAACTAACAGCTGCAAACTAACGAGGAGTACGTTGCTGTGGGTTAAATGTGCAAACTGATTGCTCATTGCCCTCAATCCCAACAGAGGCAGGAGGATCTCTTGTCAGTTCAAGGCCTGGTCTACAGTGGGAGGTCCAGGACAGCCAAAGCTACACAAAAAGACAGTCTCAAAATCCAAAAACAAATATCTAAATCATTAATAATGTGAAAAACTAACGTATTTCTTAATGTTATTTCAAGTAAATTTCACGAGTCAGTTTAATTGTGGGTATCTGTGCCCTGCTGTTAGGAAGCACAGGAGACAGAACTGACCAGCTACAAGGAATCACTCAGGATTTTATGCTGTTATAGAAAAGATACACAAAAAGGTTATACAAAAGCAAATATGCATATATGTAAAGTTTGCCAATTAGCAAGCAAGGACAGAACTACAGGGCTATTCATGTGACTTAAAGTAGGAACTCTCATATTTAAAGAGATCTTTAGGCTTTCAAGATGGCTCAGCTGATAAAGGTGCCTGTGGCCAACCCTGACATCCTAAATTCAGTCCATGGGACCGTGATAGAAGGAGAGAACCACTCTGACCTCCACATGTGGTCTCCCCCACCCCATTCTTGGGAATTAACCTGTTGCTTTAACTGTCCTGAGCCTAAGGAAAACACTGTGGTAGCACATGTAGGTGGAGTCATGCAATCCCACAGAACTGGAAATTCTATTGCAGGCTGAACCGTCACTGAACTGTCACCCGCACTGCCCACCGCTAACACTGTGTGCCCAGTGCTTGGCCTGAATGGCCACATTTGATTTACCAACAAAGTGGATCTGAAACAGCCCTAACGCTCCACTGTGTTCACTCAGCAGATAGCACAGAAGTCTTACAAGCAAGCCAGGCAACATGTGTCTGAATTTCTACATTCTGGTTTTTAAAAAAAATACATTTGAATAGTTCTCACATCCCAGAGAGGACTCAGACACTTTAGAGCACAACTTACAGAGAGTAGAAAGGAAACTTTATAGACCAGAGGTTATAAGCCTTCAAGTGTTCAGAGTAGTAGGATAGGACATAGGGCCCTAAGGCCTCATTCAGGAAACAGCCATAGCCTTTTCTGCGATGGTCTGATTAACACTGAAGTACTCATTTTCTATATATTCCTTTGCATTACACCTGTTCAAAAGCATTGGTCAAAAGAGCCATCTAAAAATGCAAATAATCTATAAAGGACCCTACTTGATCTTCAGAATTCCTTGGTAAAAACCCAGTCGGCATTTCCTGGAAGAGTAGAGAATTCAGAAAGAAGGAAGATGGAGCCCTGAAGAAGGCCTGAGCTGGGGTGCTGGTGCTACAAACACTCTCTTCTTTACCATTAGTTTTGTAAGAAATCTTGGGGCAGTTTGTGGTTTGGCCCCCATAGACTCCTGTGTGTGAATGTTTGGCCCATAGAAAGTGGCACTATTAGGAGGTGTGGCCTTGTTGGAGAAAGTGTGTCATTGTGGGACAGGCTTTGAGGTCTCCCATTCTCAAGCTACGCCCGGTGTGACACACAGTCTCCATCTGCTGCATTCAGATCCAGATGTGGAGCTCTCGGCTCCTTCTCCAGCACCGTGTCTGCCCACTTGCCGCCATGCCTGCTAACATGACAGTAATGGACTACATCTCTGAAACTGTAGGCAAGCACCAATTAAACGTTTTCCTTTGTGAGAGCTGCCGTGGTCATGGTGTCTCCACACAGCAATAAAACCTTAAGACAGGCAGTGAATTGACAATGGAGTTGGGAGTGAAAGAAGAGACTCTAGTAGCTAAGGAAGGAACCAATAATGAATATGGGAAGTCTGCCTAAACAAGAGAAATCGCTTTGGGGACATCACTGGTTCCTCACCATCTTCCCAAAGAGACACATCATTCCCATTATTTAATCTGCTCAAGGACTGTGTAATCCAAGTCTGTAACAGAACCGAAGGCTAGCACTGTAATTCTAGCAGAGATTGAAAGTGGATCAGAATGAGTGAAAGCATAAGCACGAACAATCAATCCCTAACTATTCACACTAACAAATGAGACAGAAATGGAAAGCAAAGGGAGATGTAGTACTGACAGTGTACCTCTAGAAAACTTCCATGTTTGGTTTGCAAATGCTTCACTTTTTAACTTTTCCTGTGAATTTGTTTGTATCCCTTAAAATATCTCAGTGAACTGACTGAATGATGTATTCCTGCAATATGCTCAATATTTACTGAAACTAAAACATGGGATTAAAAAATTGTTTTAATCTCCCTAAAATCCTGTACATGCAGATATCAGAGATACCTCTGTGTTTGCATAGGAGAATTTCTTTAATACTTAATGTTTTGTAATTAGCAGAACATCTATACTACAAAATTTTCTGATCATTTAAGTCTCTGGCTCCCGTAAGTTTTTAGAATGTACTGGGGAGGCGGAGCCCAAGTCTGTCAGCTAGTAATTGGGCATGGAACAAAAGCCCCAGATGATACCTCTCAAAATATTTCTGCTCACAGTTTTTGTTGCATCTGATGAGTCAATGTGAGTTGTGGCTTCCACAGATTTCAAGACTATAAAAAGAACAGCATACATCTTTATGCACAATCATTCTAATCAGAACAAACCACTTTTCCCAAGACTTTGAAAAAGATTTTGTTTTTCAATAATCCAGAAATTTTCATTGAAAGTAGATTCTAGCAAAGCCAATCTGGGGCATTATCACCTTTTCTTTGGTTGTCAAACATTGAATTAAGGATGAACTAAGTTAATTATATGTTGAGATTTAGTGATTCAGAAAAACATTTCTTAAGCCAAATATGGTGGGTTGTGCTCACAGTCTCAGCACTCAGGAGGCCAAGGCAGGAGAATTGCCATAAGTTTAAGGCTAGCCTCAAGTGTTTAAGTTCCCAGACGGCCTGGGCTGCAGTGTGCAAACAAAAACAAGTATGTGTTTTTAAGAAAATATGTGTGTGATTCACTGTCCCTGTCCTTAGTAAAGCAGCTGTTCCTTTGTATAGCAAGGTTTATAATATAATACCTATTAACTGGTTTTTCTATGAGTGAGGACAGCAGACAGAATTCTGTCTGCAAAAGATGACTACTTCCTTTAGGCCATGATTATGTGAACATGTACAGCCAACTGGAGTTAAGGATGCATGTGGAATTAATGTGGTTAACCAGCTAAGTATCCAGGTGGGTCCTCACACAGGGAATAGATTAACAAAGCTGATGAGTCCGAGATCAGAAAGAGAAAGACTTGAGTGCCCATTGCTAACATTACTGGTACCTTTGCCTAAAGCTATTTCAGATATCTAACCTCCAATACTTTAAAGCAGTGTATCAATATGTGCTGTTTAGACCGTAAGTATTATGATAATTTGAAGGATATCACTAGAGAGCCAGGCATGATGGCACATCTTGTAAGCCTAGCAATTAGGAACCGAGGCAAGAAGATTGAGTTCAAAACCAACCTGGGCTACATAGTAGGACTGTGCCTCAAGAAAACTAAAGAAGAAGAAGAAGAAGAAGAAGAAGAAGAAGAAGAAGAAGAAGAAGAAGAAGCAATAGGAAGCTAATTCAATGTTATTTTCCAATATAACATCTGTGCATAAACTAGAGAATGCTTAGTAAAATATTTAGAAGTTGTTTATATATTACCCTCTTACATATTAAAGCTACCAGTTATGTTGACAAATTTTCTATAAGTAGTATAAAAAGTTGTAGACCATTTGCCTAGCATACGGTCTGAGTTCTGAGTTCAATTCCTACTATGAGCAATAAAGACAAAAAATACAGAAGAGATTATAACACATGGAAAGTAAAGTGCACAGCTTCAGAGTCCAGTACCAATGTCGGGCAGCTGACACCTACCTATATGCTACTCAGCTCAAAGCCTTCCTCTGGCTTCTGCAGACACCAATGCACACGCACACAATTAAACAAGCAAAATTAAACTC